AATTTATAATTAAAAAAATTAAAAATATGTACAGATGTCGACACATTTGTTTGGTATTATAGAAGATGATAGATTAATGTACAAGTCAATTAGTTCCTTGCTCATCAATATAATAATATAATGATTATAACTAATAAAACACAAATCATAATGCACTAATGGAAATAACATTCTTTGTAATACTGAGTCCAACAAAATGTTTCACATTTTAATAACTAACTGAAGTGCACCTATACAGTAACAGAGCCAGTAATATTTGTTCCTTCTTTCACAATTTTGAAGTTTACCTTCCTTTTTTTCTTGTGCTTTTTATGCTGCTGGCCCATCAACGGATTCCAGCTAGCCTGTGTGTTGTGATCTGTCATATGACAAGATTTGGAGAAGTATTTTGTAGTAAGGGGGCTGTTGTCAATTTCTTGTTGAGACTGAACCAAATTGATGGGCTTGGCTATTGAACAATTTGCGAACTCTGTGTTCTTGCGAAGAATATTTTCTAATGCAGCAATCAGAGTCTGTGCTGCTAGTGGGGGCTGCATTCCAGATATATCATTATTTAACTCTTTACACATTAAATTAAGTGACGACAATTTATCAAATTTTTTAGTAGAAGGAACAAGGAAAAATTTTCAAAATTGTCGTTCTAAAAATGGTTCAAAAATCAAATAATACACAATAATCAAATTGCTAATACATATTCGTTTGATAAAAACTTCATCGTCTTATTTTATTAAAACAATTCACATACTTTGCTTAGTGTGTTTTAAAATAATATGTTTCATAAAATTTCTTTATACTTAGAAAAGTGACAGAACTCAAAAATGGTTAATCTCCATAGAACTAAACAAATAAAGCATTATAAATATAGAATTTTTCTTAGTAAATATTAGCTGTAAATTAATAAAACAATGTTTTCTTCTTAAAGAATGATACTATTAATAATAGTAAAAAAAGTAACATTAGTGTTACCCTCTTCATAATGCAGTTTTTTTGAGAATGTTACTTTTTGAATTTTCACTTTTCTAAATACATAATTATATATAAAATATTTGTAAAATAGCAACACTAGTTGCTAATAAATAACATCAACAAACCAATCTATTTTTAGCAATTATATGATACATCATCAAAAACTCGACTTAAAATTTTTGAGATTTCATTAAATACGTAAAAGTATTACACAGAAACCAAATGTGGTATTATTGAATAACTGAAGTATATGGGTAACCTGAAGCTGAGAATTAGATAACAATGAATTTACATGTTATGTCAATTAAATCAAAATATGCAAGCAATAATACCACATCAAAATTTGCGTTTATTATCAAATTTAACGGACAAATAGTAATAAAGTTTCAAAATTAGATTCTTTGGACTTTTCTGTTACTAGCATTTTCAACATAAAATGTAAAAAGATTTAAATATATTCAAACCACCATTATCCATTCCCCATTAATTTATCAATTTGTTTACCTATATTATACATCTAACAAACATAACAAATTTTGTATAGATAATACTTTGTAAAAGACACTTAATTTAAGCAAGAGAAGTGTATTTTATCAAATAAATTTCATATTTCAGTGAAAGAAAAGAAAATTCTATAATACACAATGTTTACCTCATCAAAATATTTATAATGATACTTAACTGACTTTTACAAAATAATATTTATGAGTTGTTACCATACAATTATTACATTTAGTGCAATAATGGCAAAATAAAAATCTGTTGTTAGTAATTACTTTCGCAAATTCATTATAATTAATACATCATGTCAGAATTTTGCAGCATTATGTGGCTTTTCACATTTTCATATTATAGCCATAACTTTTATCGTTACAGCTATAATACAAGCTTTATAATTTTTTTATACAAAAGGCACTGGACAAAAATTAATTACGACAGAAATATTTAAAATTAATGTATACTAACCTCGGAGTTAGAACACTCAGAAGTTGGCGGCCCATTTAACATTGATTGTTCTGAACTGCTACAACCTCCATAAACTTCACTCTAAAATTAACAAAACATTTTAATAATATCTACTCCATAACAGTATAATACAATTCTAAATTTCTTAATCTGAAATATATTTTTATGAATTTCAAGAATGTTACGCAAATTATACCTTAAGTTGTGATATTTTTTGGCGAAGTTGTGTAACTACAGATCGTAACTTATCTAGTTCTGCATCTACTGTTGTTCTTTTCTTATATTCTGTTTGAAGTTCTTCTGATAATCGTACTTTTTCCTATAATAGGTATAATCAGAAAGTCAAATGTAAGGTTTATCACATATCATATATTTTTGAATATATTTTACATATGTATACAGTCACGGACAAAAAAATAACACATTATACAGGGTGAGTAACGCAATTGGGCCGGGTTTATCTCGTGTTTGGTTAAAAATAGAAAACAGCTGAATGGTATAAGAAGATTTATCTTCCTATAACTTTACTTTTTTCGTAAGTGCAACAATGCACCTAAAAAATGTAAATACATTTTTTTTAAATGGAACTGCAAATTGTTTTTTACATAAATCGATTTTTAGGAATATTTTGTGTATAAATGTATTAGAGTACAATCTTTAAAAAGTCAATATTTCGTGAAATATTTTTAATTTTTGGTAAGACGTATGTTTCGTTGAAGATGTTTCATACATATTAATTGTAAACACTTGCGGACATAAAACACGTTATCTATCACCAACGACCGCTAAAATCCGGATTTCATCAAGATCTCAGAATTATACTTCATGAGTTCTTGTTAGTCAAAAATACCATGATTCATCATGACTGTGTCATAAACTTAAGATCCCACTAATGTTTCCGAACATATTCTTTATTATGTATTAAATGCACAAATTTAACTATTTAAATTGAGTACTATATAATTTAGGCCATGCACGACAAGTGATGTTATCATTTCCAACTAAGATTTACAATTGAGACAAGGAAATATGTTGTTGGTACTATCAGTTTGTCCGGCCTGTGGCCGATAGGTTTTACCTTTTCGAAGAAAGTAGATAATTTATTAAAATGTGCATTTTTTCAGTTATTTCATTAAAGTATAAAAGTACATAAAGTGTGCTATCTTTTTGTCTCTGACTGTATTCATTTTAAATTTACCTCTTGAAGCTTTTCCAGCGTAGTTAAATCATGGGTATTTATATCAGTCGAGATCGACTTTGGCGTAGATCTCAATGCCAATAACTCAGCATTAGCTTGTTCTTTAAAAGTTTCCGCATCTTTTAACCTGATTTCCAATTCAACTACCTCATCTTGTAACTGTAAATATGTGAAGAAGTTATTTTTTTATATTTTCAATGTGTGTGATCTAAATTCGTATTGTCACCACCGCTGAATAGACATAAGAGTAGGTTATATATATACAGGGTGTCCTACGCAACTGACACAAGCTGTATCTTTAAAATGTTTTTAATGAATTCCATTAAAAAAACAAGTGCAATTGCACTTTTTCTGATACACCGATGCACAAAATTGCATAAATTTAATTCCAAAATATGCACCACTTGACACCATTTAATTTTGTCCTATGGCATTTTTTTTCCATCTTCAACCATTTTAAAAATACAGTTTGTTCCAGTTGCGTGGAATACCTTGTTTATGAAACAAAACGTCGACCATGTGCGAGATATGAAAAGATTAACATAGTGATACTTCGTCACGCACACTGTCCAAATGTTGACTGGTAATCCCAGTAATAATTAAAGTGAAATAAATATTGTAAAAGTGAAAAGCAAATATTGCAATTTCCTTTCTTTGTGTGTAATTTTGTAAATAAATAAAGAAAGAGGAAAGGTTTTCAACCTTTTCATTTTTTTGTAAATCGTTTGAATTTGTTGGATGTGACAGTATGAAAATGCTTGTAATTTACCTTTTCATTTATATTTAATTTACTCAAGAGTTGGTTCAACTCAATTCTAAGATTGGCTGCTTCATTTTCCTTTTGTCGGAGCTGCGACTCCCATCTTGTTTCTTCTGATTCTACATGACTTTGAAGTTTATTAAGCATGCCTTCCTACAAATATATTTTGAATAAATATGAGTTAAATATAAATATAATGAAAAAGTATCGTAAATGGAAGAAAAATTTACTGTATCGTCAATGATTTGTTTATAATGTGAAACCATATCTTGCAAATTTTTATTTTGTTTTTCTAACTCTAAATAGTCATCGGTTGTATTTTTCTTTCTCAATTCAGTTAAAACTGTATCCACTTTTTTTTCAAAAACTTTGAGCCACTGGTCATGTGATTTTTCAGATACTTTTATTTCTGGGAATATCCTTTGTAATAAAGTCTTTGTTAACTCTTCTTGTTCTACTTTTACATGCTGTATAACTTCCTAAAAATAAATGAAAAACTGTTGTTTATTTAAATCTAATCAGTGTAAAATGGGGTAATTATTAAATGGGAAGAATAAATTCAATATTTAATGTAACGTGAAGATTATAACCTTACTTAACTTCATATAAAAAGGTTAAGAACGGAAGAATTAATCGAACTTTTGGAGAAAAAAAAAAAACGTAAAATAAGACTTACATCAAAGTTTTTCCAACTATTAGATTTAACACGCAAGTCGGCAGCAGAAAGAGCTTCCATTACTTTCCAATTTTTCTTACGTAACTCCTGTTTCAATTATAAAAAATGAAGATCAACGTAGTTTGACATAAATTTCATATAATCAATTTCTAATTTAAAAAAAATAATTTTTGAAGTTCAAAAATAAAAAAAGATCGGTAAAGTGATGGAAGCAATAAAAATGAATCGTAAAAGTATATAAATGTACAAAAAACAATATTTATGCAATAATTTAACTACTGCACTATTTACATGTTGGTATAATATTAACACATATGTGCACGCGCCTACGCAAGAACACGCGTGTTAAATAAATTTACTTATACACATCATAACTTACATTATTTTTAGATCTTTGTGCTTCTAAATCATTATTTAAACGTGCAGCAAGACTACGGTGATTGTTCACATCGCTTCGCAATTCATCAACTTGAGCATTTAATTGATTAAGTTCCGCTTCTTTATGTGTCAATTCTGTTTTTAAGGCATTTAGTTGACTTTCCTTTTGCGCCAACCTTTAAAAATATAAATTACTTATAAGAATTCAATTACAAAATATTGAAGAGACTTCTTTCTATTCTGTATTTAATAATAGTACTTATACGTACAAATTAGTCTGCTCTACAAGTTGTACATTCTTTTGAACATTATCGTCAATTCCATTCTCACGACCTTCTGCAGCTGGCCGTTCAGTAGTTGCTGCTAATTGAGAAGCCAATGATTCATTTTCTTCTTGCAACTGTTTAACTTGCTTCTGCAATTCTGCGAAACTTGTTAGCTGAAAAAATAATACATACCTTATAAAAAAAATGTAATTTGTATTTACATCTAGGACTAAATGAATGATACCTTTATAGAAAGTCTATCATTTTCTTCTTGTAATCGTGTAGCTTGTAACTGCATTTCACTTAATTGCTTTTCATTATTCTGCAATCTATTTACTTCGATTTTCAATGTTTTCATTTCATTTGCTGCTTCATTTGCGGCTTGGAGTTCTGCGCGTAATTTTTCTGAATCATTCTCAGCATATTTTAGGACTGCTTCTAACTTATCTATATTTAATTCATAAATGTTACTGTCACTTTGCGCTCTTTGTTTAAGACTTTTTATTGTATTTTCAAATTCCACTTTTACAGAATCTAATTTCTTCTGTGCTTCATCTAACTGTGTCTCCAACTGTGTTATATTTTCTGTTGACTGTTTTAACTCAGTTTGTACACTGTTAAGTTCTTCTTCAGATTTTTTTAATTCTTCTTCTTTGTTAACCAGTTTTATTTTAAGAGCTGTAATTTCAGCTGCTTCAGACTTCGCTTCATTCAATGAAACAGATAGCTCAGATTTCAATTTCACTAATTCAGACTGAGCTTTATTTAACTCTGTTTTTAATGCTGAAGCATCATTAGCTTCTGTTTTTACAGAATTTAATTCACTTTGCAATGAATTTACTTGTTTCTGAAGTTCTTGTTCATGACGATGAACATTTTTTAATCTATGATCTAAGTCAGCATGTGCACGATGAGATTCCTAAACAAATAAATATAAATATTTTATTAGTACTTTTTCAATTGAAATTAAATAAACCTTTTGAAAAAACATAAGAAATTACAACTTTTTCTTACCTCAAGCTGCCTAGCAACATCTTGCAATCTATCTCCAGCTTCTTTAAAATGTTGTAATTGTCCTTCTGAATGCATCAATTGCCCTTGCATAAGTCCTAATTGTTGCCGTAACATTTCTATTTCAGCAGTACTGCTCTCACAAGTTGCTTGCAATTCACTTTGCAATTCTTGTACTTCCACATGTTTTTGAGCTAATTGTGCTTTTAATGCATTTTCATTTTCACGCATTTGTGCAAATTGAACTTCCATTTGTTTACGTTGTGCTATTAATTCTTGTTGTAAGTGACCTTGAGTTTGTCCTTGATCTTCTTGCATTTTATGAATGATTGCAGCATTTTCATTTGCTTTAGTTTGCAACTGTTCAATTTGTCTAGTGAATCCTTGTTTTTCAGCAGCATGACTTTCCAAGATATGTTGCATACGTGTATGTAAAGTTTGAGTTTCTGTAATCTTGGCATTTAATGCTTCTTCTAGTTGTCTTACATTAGCTGATAATCTAGACCTTTCAGAATTAAGTTCAGTTCGTAATTCTTTCAGTTTATTTTGAAATGCTATATTTGCTTCATGCTCATCAGCGAAAGCTTTCTCCTTTTCTGCCAGCTGTTTCTTCAATTTAATAACTGGATCTGCACGACCTTCTGTCCATTCTGAGTGTTCTGATGGGTTATCCATTTGTTTATTCAAAAGTTGATCAATGAGAATTTGTATTTCAGATCGGCTGAGTTCAGCTTTTTGAACCAAAGGCATTAAGAGAGATACATTAACAGCATCTTTATCTCCACCTGAAATAAAAGACATTTAAAGTAAAAGCAACTACAGTTTACATAGAAGTAACACAAAACACTTTAGAAGAATCTGCTTTACTATGTTCAAAGTATAGTTCTTAGAAAATTTAAGCATGTTTATCTAATTTTACGGATTTCTGTTATAAATTATACAATGTATTTATATTTTTATAAGCTAATAT